TTAAGAGAAAATTACTTTCTTTGTCCCGTCAGTATTTCAGTGAGCATGCAGCACTAGCCTCAGGTGGCCAGCTGGAAACAGACACGTTACCGCGAGGCAAATATCATGGATTTTAAAAAAAAAAAGAGAGAGAGAGAGAGAGAGAGAGAGAGAGAGAGAGAATTCCTGTACTTTTTTTCAAAGCGCTGTAAGCAGGATATTTAAACAGCATTTGAAAAGGAATGATTCTCTCCCAAACTTTTTGATCCATATAAGCAGGTGATCACTGTCATTGTGATCACTATAAACGGTTTCCACTGTATACATTTCCATTTTTTAATCAAGCAAAATTATGCTTTAATGGCTGTTGTCAAGGATGTTGAAGTTGATGGAAATTTAAGTAGTGACAGTTACCATGTAAATTATTTTTCTGGTCGCCATAAACGTCTCGCTACGCTGTCAGCCAAAAGACAATTGAAATCTTTAGATGAAGCGGATTTATTGTCCACTATAACCACAATTATCATTTAGAAGTCGTCATCTGGAAACTCAGTGGCTGTGTACAGAATCACTTACTACAACCGATATAGTCCACTTCATAGTGAGTTTGCCATTTTGTAGTGTTGTGCGAATGTATATTGAGAATTATTATACCCTATATAGGCTAAGGAAAAATGGCAGACGGATGAGATGAGAGAGCAGGGCTTCATACAAATAGGAAAATTTATTTTGGATGGGATTTTCACAGAGGTCTAAAAGCTGTTTCATAGGATTATTGGGACAAATTTTCAATGGGAGTATAGTTTGTTCTTCCTTAGGACTAAAGTATGGAGACGAATTCTCTAGTTGTGGCACAGAAATGATGTGTTAAATGTAAGCAGCGCAGCACATCACAAACCACAGAGTACTTGTTATTAATCTGGGAGAATACACTCAGTAGTATGTATTTATCACAAAAATGCGTGTCAGCATTTATTATGGATGATCTACCAACTGACGTTGAGCTCGCAAAATAGTCCACTACATACTGAGAAGGGAGTAGTGAATAAGTAAATGATTTCAGACTGTTTAAACAGTTTGTTTACACAGTATATGACTGAGTCTGTGTGTTGTGTTCAGGGCGGCTGGGACACGTCAGGCAGTGAGCTGAGTGAAGGAGAGCTGGAGAAAAGGAGAAGAACTTTACTGGAACAGCTGGATGCACCTTGATGATCACACGTCTTGTATTTGTACACCTCTACAAACATGCATTCCCCTCCAAGCTCATCTGACTGTACCACGCCGGATGGACTGTGTGACATAACGCCATCCTCCGGTATTTATGGGAATGTGCGACACTGAGCTTAAAACACTTATTTGGTGAATAATTTGGTTGTCAGGAAACTGATGAGCGGATCAGCCTTTAAATGTCACGTTTGTTGCTTTTGTTAGTATTTTTTTAGTTGACTGTAGTTGTACATGTTTTCCATTGCCAATAATTTTCATACTCAATTAAAAAATCCATCTTTAATGTCACACTGACTGACTCTCACCTGGAAAAGTAGCCTAAGAAGTAAAAGGTTTCAGGAGATAGATACCATGACATATCTTTCATCATCTCTGGACACTGTCAGAGATCATGAAACAATGCTTTTGATTTGGTCTTAACTGCAGCTGTATTCATGAGGAATGATCCAAAAAGGTTTTAATTGGAGCATCTGTTAAAATTGATATACTGTAGTGAAATGTAATAAAATACTGTTTCAATGGCTTACGTCTGTAATGGGATACTTTGAGATCAATAAGGCAAATGTTCTCGTATTTACTCATGTTGTTTGTGTAGGTTCTCACATTTGAGACAGGTATATCAAACCTTCCAGTAACTGCATGCTGCTCTACAGGATGTATATTAAGTGTCAGTGTTTCATTAATAGATAAGCCAGCTGCCAGGACAACTAATCTGTGGGAGCATCCATCATATTACATGGATGACGAGTATTTAATTCAGTTCTACACTCTGCTAGTTTATTAGCCACACCTAGCTTAAACTAACGCAGGCTAATGCAAGAATCCTGCAGTCAATTCTAATTTTAAAGGTTGCCTTTCAACTTTATGGGCATTTTTGACACTTGTATAAAGCTGTTTAATTGTACTGAGGTCTTTCTACCTAAAACTGTAGCCTTAAATGACCATAAAGTTGAATCAACACCTCTCTATAATAGTTTAAACAAAAACTGAACATCATGACTTTAATGAAAGTAGAATTTATTGCATGTGTGTTCTATTAGACTGATTGTTAGACTGCCTGTTTTAGCAAGGTGACTGAGTATATGATTAAGCTTAAAACCTTACAATTCAGCTGGGAGTTAGTCAGAAACACTGAAAGATGTGGCATTATTGCCCAAGTAATATGGTCATGTATTGATAGCTCTGTCAGTTTTACAGAAGCAGGGGGCCATGCTTGCAGTCATTTTTGGTGTTGGTATCTTGGGATCACAACCTAATTATTCTGCAATCTCAAGAAGAAAACAAGTCATTTTCTTGTGATAAATGATTTTGTTATCTCAGGAATCGACTTAAATTAACCTGTAATTATGAGAAAATAAGCTTTATTATCTCAACAACAAAAAAAGTAACTTGTGATGTCAAGATAACACCATTAAAAATAATAGCAACCACAGCCATTCTCAACCATTACGTCCGTTTCAGAAAGAAAAAAAAAACAGTTCCCAGTGGTATCAGTTTTATATTCAATGTAAATAGTTTATTTGATCATATTCATTGAAAATCTCATATAACCTAATTAAACAACAACAAAAAAAAAATGTTATTTTGTAATAAGCACAAAGTGCCTAAAATACATTTCTGGTGAAAGTAAAAAAAAAAAACATGCCAGTATTATCCAGTTAGAGAAATGTCACTATTACAGACAGTGAAGCTGAGAGAAAAAGGAGATGAAACGGCAGCACGTGCTTCAGTGGACGTAATTACAGGAGGGTGAATCACTGAGCCACAAAACCAGCTAATCACAGGACGACTAATGGAAACTAGTTTATTTTAGGTACAATACATGTGATTAAAAGTTGAAATCTGTTCAAATGTACCAACAATTGCAGATGAAAGGTGTTGCATGTTTTTATAGCTGGCTTTGATGCGCCTGTGACACACCCACGAGCAAACTGGGTGATCTGCTGCCTCCTGCAAGACCGTGAGAAATCTATGATTCAACACTCTACTGTAGACTCTGGCTGCATTTGGCTTAATTAAATATACAAAAAAAGAAAACTATAAGTTAAAATAACATTCAAGTTGTATAGCACAAGGCAATGAAAACTTTTGTTTAAACAATATGTACAATATTAACCATCTGGTAATGTGAAGTAAGTAAAAAAACAAAAAAAACAAAACATGGTTTGTTGTAAAATATCTGTACATTTAGGAAACTTTTTTTGTGTTGTGTACTTTGTTTTTAATGAGCACGGACACACATTAGATGAAAATATGAACTTAAAGGAACCCTTTCAGTGGTTAAATACTATACATTAAAATTACAATAAAGTAAGTAAACACAGTAGCCTGGAATATAATTAATCTGTAAAAAAAAAAAAAAAAAAAAAAAAAGTTGACACAGATGAAATGTGAAATTATATCCAGTTCTGACAATGAGATTCCCCAGTAGGGTTTTCTTTCGTGCAGTTACTGCGTAGAAAATGTGTTTTTTATGCTGCTTTACAGGCTTGTTTACTCAAAATTTGTTCCCAGAAACCAGACAAACTGCTGTGCTGCTACAGCAATGCAACATTTTAAATGGACGGTAGAGTTTAATGTGAGCAGACAGCCTTCTTCTTTGACTCAAGAGCTACAAACTCAGGCTTGATTCATAACTGAAGTGGCAAATTATGAAAGAGAAGTCAGCATGGAGATAGACACCTGATGTATATACAATTTACATTGGTTCGGTCTTGTTTTGAAGTCTTTTGTTAATTTCCCATCATTCTTATACTTCCTTTAGTACAAATATAGAATTTTAATTACTTTTCTGATCGCCGTCTTCATGCCTGATCATCAGCCCTTTTGGTCAAAGTCGAAGAATCATGAGATGTAATGAAAAAAGTGCAGGTTGAGCACGTTTGTATAGTCAGAGGAATGGAAAGAGCACCGGAATGTACCAAGATACGACAGATGTAATATTTGTAACAGCTAAAGGGAACTCGTCCCATACATTCTACATTAGGTCTCCAGGGAAGCATCTCTTCACGTGGCTCTTAAGGCCACCGTAAGTCCAGTTTTACACATCTTTAAGGGACAGTTCAACCCCTCCAAATCATAAATATTTTTCCTCTTACCTGTAGTGCTATTTATCAGTCTAAATTGTTTTGGTGTGAGCTGCTGAGTGTTGGAGATATCAGCCGTAGAGATGTCTGCCTTCTCTCATATATCTTTAAACTAGATGGCACTGAGTTTGTGGTGCTCAAAGCTCCAAAAAATACATTTAAAAAACCCAACAGCAATGTCTCTTTCCAGAAATCATGACCTGGTTATTCAATAATCCACAGACCTTGTTGTGAGCAGTTTCATGTAGGAACTATTTTCTCTCTACCAAACTACACCCACCAACCGTATCACCGCGCAGAAGGAAGCGTGCATCTACTGCTAGCTCACCTAGCATCTCTGAGCTAGCTTACAATACAGCTCAGCCATGGAGGATGCCATTATTGTCATGTCACGTGCTGTCATGAGCACAAGCCTCTCATCCATGCACAGATGCCATCGACTGAAAAAATAATAGTAGATGCAAGCTTCCTTCTGCACGGTGATGTGGATGGAAGGTATTGTTCAGTGGAAAGAAAATGGCTACTACATGAAACCGTTCAAAACAAGGTCTGGGGATTATTTTGAGTAACCGGGTCTACTTTATCTTTACTCAAGGTAATCCACAGACCTTGTTGTGAGCAGCTTCATGGAGGAATTATTTTCTTTGTACCAAACTACACCCACCAACCGTATCACAGAGCAGAAGGAAGCGTGCATCTACTTGTGCATCTGAACTGTAACGTTAGCTAGCTTGGTGGGGTTAGGTGAGCTAGCAGTAGATGCACACTTCCTTCTGCACGAGTAACCGGGTCATGATTTATGTAAAGACAAGATCCACCTGACAGGTGTGACATTAAAAAAGCATGATTACAACTACCTCCTGAATTTGCGACCAAAACTCGATGCGTTTAAATTTTGTTCAGTGTATTTCCAATGTATCTCATCTCTACAGCCGATACCTCCAACACTCAGCAATTGACACCAAAACAATCTAGACTAATAAACAGCACTACAGGTAAAAGGGGAAAAATATATTTTTGACTTTGGGGTGATCTGTTCCTTTAAAATTAAAGCCAGGTCAAGTTGTATTGCTTAAAGTGGGGTAATATTAGAAACAGTCATCAGACAAACAATATAAGTTCAGGCACTTGGCTTGTCTAAGGTTTCTCAATCAACCTTTCAGACACTTAAAGTTCAGTCCCACACATGTCCCAGTCCTTCATCGTGAAAAGCTGCTACTATACCACAGACATGGAATAACGTGTATTCATATGTAATATATATACATACTCATCTCTATGGTTGCTACACTTGTCATCTTTCACTTATCATCCTTCAAACCTCCTGTCTCTCCCTCTCTAACGCATCCTCACTGTCGCCATCCCCTCCCAGCACATGCACTGCTCCCTCGTCACATGACCACTTCGCCGTTGTTCACCGGCCGCAGGTTCTGATCATCAAAGCGTCTCCTGACACTCCTCCGCACAGCGTCTGCTCGCCTGTAAGGCTGATTCCTCAAATCTGAGATGGAGGGAAGGGATTGGATGGGGAGGAGGAGGGGGGATAAAAAGAGCTGTCAGTCATCTTGTCGAGGCAATTTCATGAGCCCACATGCTCAGGGTGCTGGCAGCCTGTCTTTCAAAGCAGCATGAGTTCTACACAGAAAAAAAAGCCTTGTAGGTCTGATGTCTCTGGGTGTTACGACTGAGACAGGCCATAGTGGAAAACCTTGTGAGACTAAGATGATCCTTACCCAAAAGAAGGGTGAGTAAACTATTGAAAAGAGCTATTTTACAGTGTTAGACTTTCAAACTTACTGATATGAGGTAGATAAAGTGAGGGGAGAACAGAGAGAGGTACTGAGTGGTTCTACATGAGAGGACAGTAAGACAGGAAGGGAGGTAATAAAGAGATGCTTGCCAGGTTTGGGACACATCCACCACTACAGGTGTGCTACTGGAGGAGTTCCTTACCCTCGAGTAGACATTGGGAAATTTAGTAATATTATTCTTCTTTAGGGCTAGATGAAGAGAAGACAAAACGTAGGTTAAAAATCGAGGAGGAGGAGGCCGACCAGAGCATGTCGGCCCGACATATTCACACTGCCTTTGCTAAGAGAGCGCTGCGAGAGCAAAGCAAAGTGGCAGCAGGCTGCATGAGGCGGGGGGAGGCCAGAGAAGGGTGAGGGCATGAGAGGGGACAGAGCTGGAGGATGGTTAACCAGTTCAGGGAGGAAGATGGAAGAGTGGAGGATCAAAGCTTCTGAAGGTTTTTTTTTTCTGTGTTATAAACTCAGTCTGCTTTGCAGAGTGGCTACCAGCAGGACAGGAATAAGAGCCCGTTTCAAACTCCCAGTACAGAGCAATTGTGAACTGAAATAAACAAACATGGTTCCAGGACACAGGAGGATTGGGACGCCCGACAGCATCTTGACCAAAAACCAACCAAAGCATGCATGCAGCCAGGGAAAGCACTGATTACTGTTGAATTAATTACCACAAAACAGGTGTAATCTCAGTGAAACACCCTGGTTGCATGTTAGTAGCAAACACAGAGTGACGACAGACTGCTGCAATGTGAGTGATTATTCACATGTAGACGTCATGCATATTATTAGTGAGCCAGAGAGCCATTTGACAGAGAGGTGACCTGTCAGCAGACACAGCATATGGGCTAACTGGGAGAGCAGGACAGCATTGTGGGAAAGTGGGAGGGATGAAGCAATCAGCATGCAAGAAGCTGTATCAGCAGCAGTTATGATTATGTGATAACAAACATACAAACATTCATTTTTCATTAAAACACTGATTGAAACACACAGAAAAGCAAATATAATGCCACAGGCACCTTGACAACCATGACATCGGTCATATCTGCCATGTAGGTGATGACTGATGTGTACTACAGTCAAATAAATCACTTTATTAGTGATAAACCCTCAAGTATTTGATTCATGAGTCAGTTCTTGTTTATAATCTGTCACCACTAGATGGCAGCATGCAGCTTAACCATTACTTAATGAGAAAAAGAACCCTCTTCACCAATTTTAATCTCCTGTCAGTGCAGATAAGAGTACGACCTTGGAGACAGTTTCCTCTGTGACATTATGGTTTGCCGTGGTTGATAAAATAATGATGATAAATGAGTGTGTCACACTTCATGCAGGTGTGCAGAGAAAAACCATTACACCGACACCGTGTCATGCTCAGGAGGGAGAGAACACGTGTGAACACACACATTCAGGCGTGTGTGCAAAAACCATGTGATCGGGCACAGTGCACACAGTGGGGAAGGGAAGAGGCATGCAAGGATGGAGGCAAAGAGACAAAGAAGAGAATGTTTTGTTCCAGCAACCTTAGAGAAGAGAGACAGTTCTACAAGCTTAGTAATGGTACTCCTCATTGAGGGCGGGCTCGCAGAAGAACCGAGAGCCACGCTTGGCTGTGCGGGCGGTAAAGGGCACTGTCTTCAGCACTGCATTGAGAACAACAAGGACAACAGCCAGGACAAGACAGGACAAACACAGTATAAGAAAAGCAGACTCCTACAGGGGTTTAGCACTGGTTAGCGCTAAGCAAATATCCAACAACAGCATCAGGAGGGGCCAGGGCTAAATGTCTTCTACAGTGTTTGAGAGTGAATAACGCTCTACTGAAGGGCCTGACAGTAATTAATTTAATTTAATCTATAATTTCACTATAAACTTTTTCTAGCTATGTTTGTTAGAATACGGCAAAGTTATATTGTTACTACGGAAGCCCTGAGAGGCAAGTGAAAAAAAAAAATATTGTGTTGATCTATTTTGTCTGATCTCAATAGTTTTCTCCCGTGTTTATGATTTAAGAACAGGAAAACATTTTTGTCAGGATAATCTTTCGAATTACCTTAAAAAAAAACAAAAAACCGAAGAAAGAAAAAAAGGTTTTGGCAGGCGACACTTTTTTGTGTTTCAGTGTTTGTTGTTGTAATACTCATTTTGGCCACAAGAGGCTGAAGTACACCACTACCCTATGTTCTAAATGGGACTAAGACAGATTAGCCCCAATAAAAATACATTTCTATCCAAAAGAATGACATGACACATAAATGTTACATAATCTGCTAATACAGTGGCTTTTTTTAATATTTCAATTTTCATTTAAGCAATGTTGTAGACCTAAATTACATTCTCCAATTGTAAAAATGTGAAGCCGATACACCGAATATTTTATTTTATTTATTTATTTATTTAACATGTCAGCAACTAAAATGTGCGTAACACATCTACCCCCTGGCACCTTTTTACTCAAATTTTTGCCAAACCTCAATTGCAGTGGCTAGTCCTGAGTGTCCCTAGCTGGTTAGCTATGGATACCAAATCTAAAAAAGTAAAAGCCCTGGAATAAAATAGAGAATTTAGTAGTTCATGTTTGCTTTCACTGCCAGCTCTGCAAAGTTAAAGCACCAAATAATCATAAATAGTGCCCAGCACAGTAGCCATCTTGTGGGAAAACATATTAATGAATGCTCATGACTACTAGTACAGACTAATTTAAAATTAATAGGCTATATTACCTTCATTATAAGGCTCAAATATGTTTTGAACACACTTTTTTTTTTTGGTCAAAAATAGCTCTTGACAGTAAAGGCTGCCAACCCCTGCACTAACACAAATATGTACCTTGTGTTTAAAGTGAATACATACATTAAACCTCACAAGGAAGAAAACATGACAAGTGACAGTCGTATTTAGAATATGGAGTTGTGGTGCACTCCAGCCTCTTGTGGCCAAGTATTACAAGAATTAACACAGAATCCTGATCCTGACACAAAAAAAAAAAAAAAAAAAAAATCACTGGCCCAACCTATTTACAGCTAATTTCACAGATGAATAAAAGTAACTTAGAAAACTTATCCTGGCAAAAACTTTTTTGTTTGTTTTTATTTAACCTGGCAAAACTTTTATTTTCACCTTTCCACAGATAAATTTTTTTAAGGAACTGGCAAAACTGTCCCCAAAACCACATGTTCTTTAGTCATAAACACAGGAGAGAAAAAATTACACCATACTTTAAAAATAGAGCACCAGATTTTTTTTTTTTTTGCATTTGCCTCTCAGGGCCTCCATATTATATAGAGATCTGAATTAAAATCATAAGGAGGTCTTAAACACTTGGGGCACATTTACATTATTCCTGTGGTTAGTGGTGGAAAAATATTGTGAACCTTTATTTTAAAAGCAGCCAAAATCTTACTTAAGTAAAACTGAAGAAGTATTAACAACAAAATGTACTCCCTGTATTTAGGGAGGCACATTAAACATAAAAGTTTTATAGTATCACATGTGATATTATTGTATTTCTAATACTAGTAGTTCATAAGTAGCATTACACTGTTGCTGCTGGATTGTAACTTCTTTAAAAACACCCAAACATTATGAAATCTACAATATATAGTATTTAATAATATAAGGTAATAGCTTATTACATGTTTTGTAGGTGAAATCTTATTTTACAAATTAAATTATTAGAGCTAGACTTGTATTAGACGTTATTAGCTTATTACTGAAATATGTACCAGTATCTGTGTGAATGACGGCTGATAGAAAAGTATATACTGTCCCTATTAAATAGTTTTTCCACCAGAGAGCACTTGAGTAGATGTACTTAGATAAATTCTATCACTGCCCCTGGTAATTTATTCTCCTCTGATGAATTAATATGCTAGGAGCTAGTCACAACCCGGCCCCGTCTACGTACAGATGGTGTTACAAAGCAGTGACAAAGCAGATAAGATAAGCAATGATCATCAGACACACTGGAGCTGAATATCACTGGATTAGCTGGACTGTCAGGTCATGTTTGTGCTCATCAGGTTCCACCTTTAGTTCTCAAACATCTGACAGCTTTATTTAGAAAGAGCCACAGTCATCGTGTTAGTCGGTTTAGAGTCCCTTTGTTAATGACTGAATGTAGAGCACCAGAGAGGACCTTCATGCAGAGCGCCCTGTACTGTATATGTGTGTGTGTGTATGTGTGTGTGTGACAAGAGACTGCAGCCAGGCCCAGGTGACGTTACCCGTGATGATGTCCTCAATCGCTCCATCTTTGCCTTCGTAGACATGGCGGCTGTCTTTCACCTGTTTCCTCCTGAGCTCCTGGATCAGCTCTTGCTGCTGCCGCTTGTTCTTGGATGGAGACTGGGGATACACACACACACACGCACGCACACACACACACAGCGAGACACCATTTAACATTTATTAATAACTCAGTCATGAGTCCAGCGTATTCTACAAAGAACTCTCCCACCCACAGTTTCTTTTAGCTCCACACATCACTTTACTCTGTCAAGTTTGTGCATGTGTGAGTTAATTGAACCATTTAAGAAGTACAACCGCTGATCCTGAGTCGATGTGATGTGGCTCAGCAGGGTGTCAGACTGTGGAACCAGATATAACTATACCCAGCAGGCAGTCGGTGCTCAACTAATCCTGTGATCAGGAGTCTGGAGGACGGGAGGATGAAGCAGAGAGGGGAGGAAGTGGAACAGGCTTACCTTCTGGTCGATGTGATCCACAGTAGCCTCCTGCCCTAGAAAGCAGGAGGAGGATACAGGGAGGGAGAGGCGGAGGTGATAAAAAAGAGGAGGGGTTGAGAGTTGACATACCTTCTGGTCTTCCTCCATCATGGCCTCCTGTTCTAGAAGTTTCTCCATCAAAAGCTGCTCCTGTCTCTTTTTCTGCTCGTTGTCCTCCTCTGCTTGCTGAGGGGGTCACATGTACACGTCATACAGTTTAAACTTGTTTAATTATACTTTTCTTTTTCCCATTAGTCACTTAGACACAAAAACAGAGCAAAATAGAATCCATGTTGAGAAATGCCAAATTTATCCTTTACACAATGCAAGACACTATCATTAAAAAAGCATTCAATAATTTCACCACATGTGCAATGCGAGCTGAGATTCTATTTCAGTTTCATGAAATGAGATGAAGTCATTAATGTGGTTTGGAGTCGTTCAGGATCACACTAAACAGAGCTGACACACAGCAGCTGTGAGAGACTAACAGCTATAAACAGTCAAGATGCTGTGAGGTGCAGTAACACATGGTGCAATGGGTTTTCATTTGTTGTGTTACTATAAGACGTCATGTTTTAAATTTGATAACTGATTCTCTCCACTCAAAAAAAAAAGTGTTTTCCTTGTGTTAATGTCCCCTAAAATGTCTGACCTTGACTAGACTGACTTGTATCCATGCAAGGTTTGTCACTAGAGAAGTGTTTTCACATTACTCTACTGAAGGAGGAGATGTCTGTGCACTTCCCTCGACGCACTGGCAAGCTAGATTAGGTACGTCACTAATGCAAAGGCGAATCGCTATCTAATAAACGAAATGCACATCAACAAGGAAACAGATTTCAACACAACACCGGCAAAAAAAAACTAAAAACTTGTCGGTACAGGAAGCAGTTTGCATTAGCATAGTGAAAGTTTTGACAGTAAACATGGTGGAGTGTGTATATTTTGGATGTAAACCAGACCCTGAAGCTTCCCTCCACTATCTACCACAACACACCCTAATCTCAGACTGAACTTTGGTAAATATCAGGAAGAGGAATGCATGGAATAAAAAAAGACGATATCTCTAGTTTTGCTGCATCAATTTTGATCCTTTTTGAGTCCAATTTTATAAACTGCAATATTAAATCAGTTGAGTACCCCTAAGTCCTGTATCTAACCAGCTGGTGGGGTGTGTTCTTTCAACTAGTTTTGTGTAACTGTGTGAGACATGATCATCCAACTCACCCTGTACGCCTTAACAAATCGCACAAACACAGGGAAGAAGACGGAGGGCGGCGTCGTTTTGGAGTTCTCCCCGAAGAACTTAACAGCTTCGTCAAAGGCATCCTTTCAAAGAAAGACAGTGGACACTTTATTAAAACCATGTCACAACAACAGAGATACAAAAAAACCAAGACATCAGAGCAATACAAAGCGAGGTGAGCTCATGTTACCTGTGCAATCTTGGCGTCATCCTGCAGCTTCTTCAGCTTGCTCTCATTGTGTGTGATGAAGTCTTTGAGCATGGTGTTGTGGCCGTGCATGCTGTACTCTCTTTTGGTCAGCTCCATGCCTCTCTGCAGCTCCTTAACATCCAGCAGGACGTTCTCCAACGACACTGTGAGCACGAGCCGACATTTGAGTACACACACCACTTCACTTTGAACTGTAAAAAGTCAGATAAGGATGCAAACACATCTCCACCGTAGGACTCACCTGCTGCAGCTTTCTCCACGTAGTGCAGCTCGTTGTAGAAGAGAGCAACTTGAGAGTATTTCTCCTTTACTACATTGGCTATGTAGTGTAACAACGTTATCTTACGGTCTGTCGACTTGGTATCAAGTAGCTGGAGAGAAAATAATTGAGAAAACACATAACTTCAGAAATAATTTGTAACGGAAAAGCAGGTTTTAAAGTCAGAGGGAGGCAACTTACCAAGTCTAAACTTTGCAGCTTGAATCCGTACACGGCTCCTCTTTTGCTGCTGTTCATGTAGTTTCCAAGCGCCAAGATAATCTGACGAACAAGGAACAAGAAAGTGAAAAACAGAAAAACATGCATTCATTTAACATAATGTTCAGTCAAGAAACAGATGAATGATTTACCTCTAGAATTTTCTTTAACTTCTGTGATGACTTGATGGACACAGATGCTGCGATGACTGCGTGAAGTTGCTGTGAAGGAAACAAAGAACGATGTGAGACAATGTCATATTTAATAAACCTCTGCCATGTTCTGTGATTACAGCATCCCATGTAGACTGCCCCTAATAATTTTTATTCCAACACAAAAGAGATCCCAGTTCTTACCGGCGTGAGCATCTGCACACTCTCACAGAAGTTGCCGATGAAGGCCATGATGGTCATCTTCTGCATGAGCCGCTCGATTTTACTGAACTGCATCATGAAGCGGTCCTCGTCCGTCAGGCTCTCCAGCGGCTTGCGCTCCTTCTCAAACTGCCGCAGGACTTTAATCTCATTTTCGGTGGGTTGGAAACGCATCAGACATTCCACGAAGTCCACGGGCAGAGTTCTCAGATCAAAGCTGGAGGATGAGGAGACACAAAAAAAGATTTTACTCTGGAAACTCAAAAGTAAAGGACACAGTATATCTGATAACATATGTTCACGGCCAAAAAAAAAAGAAGAAAAAAAAAAGACTCATGATGTGAAATTAAAGGACTGTGTTCATTAACAAAAAAAAAAATCAAATGCTAGCACACTCAGCACAATTGTATGTGTCACAAGAGGGTGAAGCTATGGAGGAGCGAGGACCACACAGCAGAAGTAACTTGTCAATCACAAGGTAGCAACACCGTGCTTTATTGTCTGTTTTACAATAAATGGGACCTTAAATTACAACATGAACCATGCTTGTATTGAAGACGACTTCAAACTAGTGATTGAGACCATAAACTTATTATGAAAATGTTTACTGAGGTATTAAATCAAGGGAGAATTTGGGTCATTTTCTCATTCACTTCTATACAGATTTCTCTTTGCAACCAGTGGAGTCGCCCCCTGCTGGCCATTAGAAAGATTGCAGGTTTAAGGCACTGGCTTCACTTTCCCTTGTTCAGGACCCTAAAAGGATTGAGGTCTCGTGTTTTACTTTGAAGGGGCTTACATCTGTATGGCCTTGCAGATCTCCTCAGAAGTCTTGCCCACTTTTCTCAGCGTGATGGCCAGGTTCTTCGCTCTGTTAGAGTCCAGTAGCGCCACCTTGTTCGGCCCCTTCTGGATGACCTTCTGCTTGTTTGAGGTGATGTCGATTGCCGGGCCCTGGGCTTTTGTCTTAAACATCTCCTCGAACTCGTCCACGTTCAGGTCCTTGAAGATACAAAGAGACAAAGAATTGGTTAAAGTTCTGTTATCGTGGGAATGAAGCCAGAGGTGGACTAAATTGTCGACTCTTACCTCGAGTATCCTCTCATCATCAATCTCATTGAAGACGGTCCCGTTGATCTGGTTTGGTTTCAGGGCGACCCAGTTGAAGACAGGCATGCGGAACTTTGTCTTGATGGGTTTCTTGATCTTAACAGCTACATCAGAAACAGCAGAGTTAACACAGAGTCTCTATCTGCTGTGAGAGTACACACACGCACGCACATTCACACACGTGCAGGTGAAAGGGTAGACAGTTATCTGTGGCTCGTGACACACATGGATGTGACTGTTTTTATCTCTAAAAATACACAACCCTACTTCAAGCTGATAGCTTATTTGATTTATTTGGAGAGAATGCTTCCTTTAAACTAAATAAAAAAGACACCTGGTCGTATTGGAAGCAGAGTGAAGCCTGAGAGTAAGGCCAAAGGGTATACCCTGAACAGTTAACGGTGCATATGGCAGGGATTTCCTGCCTGGCCCGGTGACACACTATTTATTGAACAGATTATGACTATTTGTGGCCACCTGGGCTGATTCACCGAAGCCAAACATCAAGGTGGCGCCCTGCCTAGCCAAACTGGCGTGGTGTCAGCAGGGACAGAAAGATAAGGCTGTCACGAGAAGAGTAAACAGCATTCCAGCTTTGCCTATCACTTTCTACCATCTGCGTGCCACAGCAGGTAACTAAGTCTCAGCATGCAACCGACACTCTGAGATGTGGCGATACACTTAATTCATACAAACACACACACACACTATCACAAAACTATAGCAGGGTGTGAAAGTAAAGCATGCAGAATTTTGAAATTTGGTATTTTCTCTGTTGTTTGAAACCATGTAAATGTTTCACAGAAAGTCTCACTGCGAGAGGAAGAACAGCAGAAAGAATTCATGAAGTCACAGTTCATGTGTTTTGGAATATGTGGTTTTATGTGCAGCTGAGCTCATGTTACGAGCAGCCAAAAAAAAAGGGAAAACATTTCTAAATTATTTCTTAGAGACTTGAATCACACAAATGGGACTTGTCTGTTTGTTTTTTACTGGGATTTAGGGACTGAAAATACCAAATTCAAAAAACTTGTGATAAAGGAAGGGAACAGTAGGGGGGACAAGACACCAAGAAACATGACAAGCAGAACCTACAGAAAAGTTTGATGGGTCCCTCTGGTTGGCAAAAAAAGAAACAATTCAAAGATAAATCATTAAGAGATTGGCAGAGTTAGTGAGAAAGCTTACACATGCACATCTCAAACGCACAAGGCACAGTTAAAATATATGAACTTAAAGGGATTTCCACTGTTTACTAACTGCTATAACCAGCAAAACTGTCAGCACTGTATTTTCAGACCTCTCAGGGAGGCTGTTACATCACTCTAAAAGCTTATCTTACACATGCATACCCACATCTACTTACTGTACAGTACAGTAAGGTCTAATTTAATGAGTCGCATGAGGGAGTGGCCTCGTTACTCATCAATACTCATCATCTGAGCAGGAGCATGCCCAACAGTAAGTTTGGTAAGTTACAAAATAACTATATTGTTCAACCTGGATGCTATTTGCCATGTTTTGTGTTTAAGTGACTGATGGGAACAGCAATTTTTGAAATTGGTCCAGTATTGTGCAAGAGTGCTGTGAAACAAGCTGCAATATAGCCACTCACGACATGTTTGCCCATGAATTTATGTCCACTAAGATGCTTGTTGTTTCCACTGACAGACTCAGATTATTATCATAGATGTCCAACAACAATATAGAAAGCATCCCTACAGAAACAGACCTTTTGGTTAGAAAGTAAGATCCTTTTGTTTAACCAGAAACAGCCCCAAAATCACTACCACCAAACCCACCAGACTCCATTTAAATAAACTGTAATTTTATCATAGTAAAACACACTTCATTCAAAGTCGACAGAAAACCATCTTGGTTCGTTTTTCCATTGTTCCGACAATCACCAGCTCTGTTTTTGCTCAAATAAACCCTTAATTTACGCAGTCAGATGTGAAAATATGCCATACACGCTAAAATTACAGTTTATTGAAATGGAGTCTGGTGGGTTTGGCGATGGCGATTTTGGGTCTGTTTCTGTTGAAACAAGAAGGATCTTTCTCTTTAACAAAAAGTTCTATCTCTGTAGGGTCCTTTCCAAAATATTGTCAGACACTTAGAATAACAATATGAGCCTAGCAGTGGCAAAAACAAGCACTTCTAGTGGACTGATGGTGCATAATTGCCCTGAGTAGTAACACTGGAAGCTGTTTAGCACTCTCACTCAATGCTGGACCCGTTTCAAAAACTGTTGTTCACATTAGTCACTTAGACACAGAAACTTGGGGGGGAAAAGCCAGACATTAAAGCTCTCAACTCAACACTGACAGGAAACCTTTGTACAAACTGTCTTTAAATACTGAAATTACAATGTTTGGCAAGAGTGATAGCTGAATCGTTGACCCTATTTAAGATGTGTTTGTTTATTATTCCATCTATTTAATTATCATTTCATAATGTATTGTTTTGATCAAGCAACCAATAAAATATAGAAATACACATTTAGACTAACTTTAACCTTACCCGCTAACCCAGAGTTCATGATGACAGTTGGTGTCCCACAGCCGGGCAGTGGAGGCGCTACAGGAGGAGGCGGAGGAGGTATAGGTACTGAGATCTGTGAGGCTGGCCCTGGAGGAGGAGGGGGAGGTGGAGGGGGAGGCGGCGGAGGTGGGGGAGCTGCTGCTGCTGCGGGAATGGCTGACGAAGGTCCATTTGACACTGTGACAGAGGAGACTCTCAGTGCTTAGTATCATCTTATATCCGACATGTAAAATGTGTCGGACTGGACGAATATTTAACTTACATGTGCCATTCACTGGTAGTGGAGGGGGTGGAGGAGGTGGTGGTGGAGCTCCCGCCACGACTCCTGTATGATTTGGACTGACAGCTGCACCGGTTCCTCCAATCACAGCACCTGGCAAGCCCTGCACGGCAGAGGGCGGTGAGGGCAGGATGGAGATGTCTCCGTCTCCCTTCTTCTGGATCTTGATGGTGCCTTGTTTCTCCAGCTCGTGGATCTTCTTTTCCAGGTTGCTCTGTCGCTGGATGGCCTCGTCCTTCTCCTTTAACATCTGCCGCAGTGTGTGCACCTGTGAGCTGGTGTCTTTGTAGACTTCCTGTGTTGGAGAGAGACAGAAACAGGGAGTTAAGAGTTATATTTCTGCTGTAAGTGTGAGGGTAGGACTTCCATTTGTATTCAGTGGTTACTGTGAGTGCTTAATGGCAACTTTAAAGATGGATGTGACTGTTCAGAGTCTGACCCTGATCGATTCAAGCTCCTTGTTCCTTTGCATCAGCTGCTTCTCCAACTCCACGATCTTTGACATGGCCTCGTTCTCTGTGTCCAGCAGCTTCTCTGTCATCTGTCAGAACAGCCAGGAGGAAAAGGGTGACACGGTGACATGAAGAAAACTGTGTATGTGTCTTAAAATGTCTTAAAATGGTGGTTGACAGTTAAGGGAAAGCATGAGATCATCATAAATCCCATGCTGACATCCTGGACATTAATACATAGAGAAGATAAATGAGACTAAGGATTCAGTTTTGTGGAATTTTAGAGAGTGAAATCAAACAGTCGGGGTCTCTCACATGTGACATGTTCTCCTCCAGCTCCTCTACCCGCTCCAGAGCGGCGTTTTTGGTCTCGGCATCCTCCAGAAGGGCTCCCACGTCAAACACATTATCCAAGTAGGCCTGGATCTGAACCTGCAGCTTATCACTCTCTGTATGCTTTAGTTTCTAGAAAACACACACACAAATGAAAAACTTTCTCAGTTCACTGCATGAGGTCGACATCTCAGACCTCACGGCCAGCACTGATCTCACCTGCGCCTTAAGGCAGGAGGTAAGGATTTACACATCTGACAGATTTTTTTTTTTCTGAAGGAATGGAAAAGCCATTATTGACTGCTTTTTTTGTCTGGTTGCTGTCTCGAGGGTGCTGTAATGACAACCTGCGCGCTGGACTGAGCTGAATATCAAGAGCCAGAGTGCTTCTGTCTGACAGTGCTTTTTTCTCGCAGCATTATGTCTCGACTCACGTCTAAGTAGTCGTCCAGACACAGCTTGGTGAAGTCGTACTGTAGGTGAACTCTGAAGTTCATGTCCTCCACCGAGTGCACCACGATGTTGATAAACTGCATACAGGCCACCTGGGGGAATTAAAAGAGAAAGAATACGGTTAGTGAGTGCCGATTCCACACAGTCGGTTTTCTCAGTGTTTTTAAAACCCTGCTTTAATGTACTCTGTGTGTCTGCTGACTATGCAAGATAAAAATGTGTTAATAGACACATTTACAGCAGGTTTGAGGTTTTTGAACATCAGCCAGTTACTTCTGTGAAATGGCTTTATGCTTATTATCACATCCAATTCCTTTTAATATGGCTTCCACTGAAATTGTGTGTATAAATCCTCCTTATTGTGCTTGCTTGGCTGGCAGAGTAGCTTATCTGGCAGATTAAGAGGATCTGAAAAAACAAATTAACAAAATCAGCCAGTTCAACTCCATCGGCTGCCTTATGGGAGCCTGCGTAAACAGATCACGGGGAATCCTCAGTGTCTATAACGTACACACACACACACACACACACACACACACTGGCTTAATCAACTTCCGGTAAGAAGCTCAGTTGTCTCGGTGCGACACGGCGCCTTCAACAAAGTCTGTTTGCTTTAGTGCTGCTGTCAGACGACGGCCCGCCGAGGGACTGTGAGCGGACTTGTGACATAAGACCTATTCAAACACAGCATCTGTTGGGTTTCGCACACATGCAGTGTTTGCCTCACATAAATTCAGACACTTAAGACGAACACACACACTGGATAAAATACTGTCGAAGTTGGCACTTTCTTCACATTGTCTTTTATTCTTATCTGCCAGGCTAATTAGCACTACTCAGCCTGGAAATGACAGACTTGGCATGAGTTCCTTGCTTTGGGCCACTCCAGTTTGATATATTGTGCCACACATCTGTAGGTTGAGCTGTGATGAGAAAAATTAGAGGGTTCACAAACACTGATAGCCCTGGGAGAGTGTATCCTCAAACTAAAAGCACAACTGATCCCTTCTGAGTTATTTTTAAGTTTGGTCAAACATATCGCAACACAGATGGAGTAGTGTTCAAAATACTCAAAATATTTCTTAAACTGACGACCCCTAACTAAGTGACATATTTTATGGATATTTAATTTATGTTATATTTCATGCATTTGAGAAAGAACTGGTAAACTGTATACTTCATCCAAATTATCCAAATAGTTAACAAAATAACAGCAGGAAGTTTGTGTAAATCGAGCAATTTGGATGAATTTTGGCAAGGTTACTTGTAAATGCTGCATCAGAGATGAGTTCCTGATATTTTTAGTAGCCTAAATCTTCATACAAATGTCTGTCTGTACTGTTATTATTTTTCTAAACAAGCACACAACAAGTCCTCCCTTGACGCTTGTCCATTGTTCTCTAAAATCTTTGGTTTTGTCTGTTTAGCAGAGAGTAAAGTTAATGTAGGTTTAAAGTGGGCCTTAATAATCAAAATTTTAAGTCTATTTTAAGTCTAAAATTTCATCTTACTGGGAGGATTATAGAGATGAAATCAATAATGAGTAGAGCTGGATTTTAATTTCAGTGTAATGTATTTGGGAAGTGTGCCAACTGGGCTAACAAAACAGGACAGATATTTATTACAAATATTACTAGCAGGTTGTAAAAAAGCAATAACCAGGAAATGGTTGAGTAAAGAGTCTTCAACAACCTCTGAATGGACAGAAATAGTTAAGGAAATGTATGTTCTCCAACAACTGACTTTTTCCCTGCCACTAAAAATGTGAACAATATTGGAAAAAATGTAAATCGTAGTTGACTTTATTTGTGTGTTTGTTTTATTTGGTGAGTGCTGAGTGGAAGATTTCTCCCTCCCTGAAGGTACCCTGGATTTCCAGGGGTCAAAGTTGGGGAACATGGGGACAGTCATGGACATGAAGGACCTGTTGTCTGTGGAACTGCGGAGTCGCCTTGATGCTTCTTATTTTCTGTTTTGCTGGATGTTGCGCATTTTGACTTTACCTATGATGTCCCTGCCTGTTGTTGTTGGTTTTGTCTGCTTTTTTCTTTTTGTAAAAACTAATAAAAAATTAAGTATAAAAATAACCATTTCATTTGGTTTTCTTCACAGAAATTAAATCTATACTGAGATAAAGTCTTACTGTTTCAAGTTGATAACAAGTGTTCTAAAGGCTTGAAACTAGTTGGGTTTCCATCCAAATGTAATGTAAATTTTAACCAAATTTTTAAAAAAAATCTGCAAAAGAAAATCCGGTTTTGTGTCCTTTTCCAACCATTACTGTTATTCAAATATTGGGAGTTGATATATTGACATAAGCTGCGGGAAGTGGCTCTAATTCTGCAGTCAGGTGCCACAAAAGAAGAGGGTGCAATGAAATGACAAAATTAAAAGGGCGCCAGTCAAACCTCAAACAAAGGAAAACAATGGATGCATAATGGAGATCACACTGGACAATGGATATAGAGAGTTTTAAACAACTAATAGTACAGCTGTGTGCTGTTGAAAGGGTTCTGGTAACAACACTGTGTTGCATTTATGTGTGTTGTGTGGCCTACATTGTGACGGTGTGTAATGGCTGTATGTCATCATTCATTCACTGAATCGGTTTTAATTGCACTTAGTTGCATTTATAGTACCTTTTATCAATAAACCAACTTTTCCACCTTTTGCTATATTTTGAGATTTTTTTGAAATGTTGGCGTTTCCACTCAGTTTTTTTTATGCACAAATTGAACTTGCGCATAAAAACAGGAGGGTAGAAACACACCTACTGCTGAGAACAGATAGCATCATTCACTCAAAGCTTCTTCATCTCAAAAACCTTCCCAAGCCATGTGATTTTCAAGGGATTGCAGTGCAATCAATACTCATTAGGAGTGTGTGTGTGTGTGTGTGTGTGTGTGTGTGTGTGTGTGTAGGGGAGGGGGTGAACATACCATGAAGTCGATGTTGTTGTCTTCGTTCTTGAAATACTCCATTAGCTTCTCAAACCGCTGCTCCTCCATACACACCTGCAAAACAAAGCACATCTCACTTATTGTATTTACTGGAGTTCAGGTGTAGAGAGCGATGTGCAGTGATTAATGCAACCAATCAGTGATTTACATAAATGACACAACTAACTCCTCCTGATTCACATGAACCATACAGTGCTTTGCCTGAGACAAAAACACTCCTGATTTCAGCATTAACTTCAGTACTGCGAATATGCAGTGACACTAGAGATGATGCTTTTTACCTTTGAGCTTAGCCAGGACTTTTTACCTCATTTACGTTTTACTGATACATTTTAATGACTATTATCATTCCCAGTTTGGTTATCAACAATTTGGCGAAGATGAAAATTCAGTGATGTGACATCACAGCTCGCCCTGACCTCAGTTATTCATGAACTGCTGCTGAATGTACACACTGCATCTGTGTTCAATATGGCTTGTGGCGCCACTTTTACCACATACACTGTAGGGTTTCTTTGTCCTGCCTATCTGAAGAAGAATTTGAGAGACAGAAGAGAACAGAGAGATAAAAAGAGGCAGAGAGAGAGATAGAGAGATGCTCTGCAGTTCAGACAGTTCATCTGGAGGGCAATGAGGGAGATGGAGCATGATGAAGAATTGAGACGGAAGGGAGGAAGAAAGAGGAGGGGTGTGTATCCAAAAACCTCTGAATAATGTGTAGAGTCTCGGCCTGCAGCCCCTTCATCAAACACGGGATATCAAAGTCACTTAGCAAACTACATCTAATGACGCTTTTTAACGAAAAGGAAAAAACTAACAACCACAAACTGCCTTTACAACACTGCAAGAAGAAACAGAAACATGAGTGAGTGCTGAAATGGTTTTTAGCAGACTCCACTATCATGATGCTAACCCTCTTCTCATTAGAGGAGCTATGTTCTCTCTAAGCCTTATTCTCCCACTAATGCCAATGCTACTGAGAGCAACACTCAATATTTCATTCAGGGGTGTAAATATTGCATTAACTGCAGTCGGCCCATTTTTTTTTGCAGGCCGTATGCTACAAAATGGGGCTGCTGTTAGCGCCCACTCCATCATAAACCTCCCACTCTTTCCTCCAGCAGCCAGAATACCTCATCCAGACAGACAAGGGTCAGACTAGGCTGTCTGTTGCATCTTTCTGCGTGTGCGTCTGAGCTTTGATGTGTCAGCCAAATCTAGTTACCACACGTGTAACTGTTTCCTCTCGAGTCCTGCTGTGTGTTGCAGCTAAACCGGTGTCTCTAATCTGTTGACAAAGTTCCTAGATGCTATCCTGAGGAATCTGCTGCTCCTCACATCTGCCAGGGGGGGAGCATTCCTCCAGGGCTGAGTCACCGTTTGAAATTGCACAGTCGAATTGTAATGACATATTCGTCTCCTCGGACCCCACTTCCCCCCTCTCCGTGAAGCTCGTACCTCCTTAAAGTTGTCGAACGCAGAGAGAATGATTTCGTGGCCTCCTCTCACGAGACAAACTGCCGCCAGGAGCTCTAAGACCAGAGCTTTGGTTCTATAAAACAGGGAGAAAATAAAGGCGGCAATGGTTAGTAAATGACAAGTGCCAGCGCTGTGGCAAACCTGTACTTAGACACGGAGCAAACAAAGTGGAAAACAGTGTAATGAGTAAAGATCCTGCCAACGCTCAAACCTCTGCGTAGATCTACAGGGTGTTTAGTACAGTTACTGTCTTGAAGTGTTTACATCTTTGTAAGTATTAAATCTAAAACTTTTAGGTGGAAATGGATACATTTTTTGCTTTAAAGGAATACTTCACCTACAAAATGATTATTGGTTTATCAGTTAATCATGACATGTTACCTATAATTTGGAAAGAAAACTTTGTTTCTCTCACATGCCTCCACAGAAAGATGGCAAACATACTGATTTATTAATTGATTGGGGACCATGTTTAACAAAAGCAAAAAGTATATCAAAAACTATATCAACTACATCAGACAGGACACAATGTCAAGTTCAGCTCACATCCCAGCTTTATCAGTTGATCTCAAACAGCCAATCAACTGATGGAGCAGATGATTGATGGAAGGGAGTCAGCTGATAGATCACATGATTCCTTCCTATGCAACCAATTTGCGAATCTCATTCAGGGCGCCCTATTTAAACTGCTCTGGCCTGCCTACTGTTGCTGCTTCCTCTGCAAGCCGCTTTGCATCCTGCCTCCACCCCAGCTCCTCCTTTTCATGCTGTGTCTAACTTATCAGTGTCATTTCTGTTTGTCATTGATGTTGCTCTGTTCTGTTCCCAGGGGGTCTTTGCTGCTGCTCTCCCTGCCTTAGGCTTTCCATGTAGGCGCATGGAAGGACAGGGAGGTTTGCTCTCTCTGCCTCAGGCTTTCATCGTATGCACATGGAAGGGCAGAGAGGTGTGCTTTCTCCACCTTAGGCTTTCCACATAGGCATGCAGAAGGACAGAGAGGTGTGCTCTCTCTGCCTTAAGGCTTTCCATATAGACGCATGGAAGAGGCTTTCTGCCTAGAACCTAGGAAAGGCAGAGAGGCCCCAGAACAGAGCCATACCACCAAATATAATACTGCAAATGGAAATAAAGTTTTTTTTGACAAAAGTGTTCCTGACTGAACATTTGTTTACAAACTCACACAGCTCTGGCAGTATAATCCAGATCTCATTGATCTAGTCGTATGCTCACTACTTCTAAAACATATGTAAATATGTAAATTGTAAGGTTATAGCAAAAATGCATGTTTGTGAAGTACTCAGAAATGCAGTCCCAAATCAGTCTATAAATCAATCTGTTTGTGGTTTGAAAGCTTGCGAGAAAAACAAAGTTTTCTTCACAAATTCAAGGTAACACTGCATATACAGTACAGGCCAAAAGTTTGGACACACCTTCTCATTCAATGCGTTTTCTTTATTTTCATGACTATTTACATTGTAGATTCTCACTGAAGGCATCATAACTATGAATGAACACATGTGGAGTTATGTACTTAACAAAAAAAGGTGAAATAACTGAAAACATGTTTTATATTCTAGTTTCTTCAAAATAGCCACCCTTTGCTCTGATTACTGCTTTGCACACTCTTGGCATTCTCTCCATGAGCTTCAAGAGGTAGTCACCTGAAATGGTTTTCCAACAGTCTTGAAGGAGTTCCCAAAGGTGTTTAGCACTTGTTGGCCCCTTTGCCTTCACTCTGCGGTCCAGCTCACCCCAAACCATCTCGATTGGGTTCAGGTCCGGTGACTGTGGAGGCCAGGTCATCTGCCGCAGCACTCCATCACTCTCCTTCTTGGTCAAATAGCCCTTACACAGCCTGGAGGTGTGTTTGGGGTCATTGTCCTGTTGAAAAATAAATGATCTTCCAACTAAACGCAAACCGGATGGGATGGCATGTCGCTGCAGGATGCTGTGGTAGCCATGCTGGTTCAGTGTGCCTTCAATTTTGAATAAATCCCCAACAGTGTCACCAGCAAAACACCCCCACACCATCACACCTCCTCCTCCATGCTTCACAGTGGGAACCAGGCATGTGGAATCCATCCGTTCACCTTTTCTGCGTCTCACAAAGACACGGCGGTTGGAACCAAAGATCTCAAATTTGGACTCATCAGACCAAAGCACAGATTTCCACTGGTCTAATGTCCATTCCTTGTGTTTCTTGGCCCAAACAAATCTCTTCTGCTTGTTGCCTCTCCTTAGCAGTGGTTTCCTAGCAGCTATTTGACCATGAAGGCCTGATTGGCGCAGTCTCCTCTTAACAGTTGTTCTAGAGATGGGTCTGCTGCTAGAACTCTGTGTGGCATTCATCTGGTCTCTGATCTGAGCTGCTGTTAACTTGCGATTTCTGAGGCTGGTGACTCGGATGAACTTATCCTCAGAAGCAGAGGTGACTCTTGGTCTTCCTTTCCTGGGTCGGTCCTCATGTGTGCCAGTTTCGTTGTAGCGCTTGATGGTTTTTGCGACTCCACTTGGGGACACATTTAAAGTTTTTGCAATTTTCTTGACTGACTGACCTTCATTTCTTAAAGTAATGATGGCCACTCGTTTTTCTTTAGTTAGCTGATTCTTGCCATAATATGAATTTTAACAGTTGTCCAATAGGGCTGTCGGCTGTGTATTAACCTGACTTCTGCACAACACAACTGATGGTCCCAACCCCATTGATAAAGCAAGAAATTCCACTAATTAACCCTGATAAGGCACACCTGTGAAGTGGAAACCATTTCAGGTGACTACCTCTTGAAGCTCATGGAGAGAATGCCAAGAGTGTGCAAAGCAGTAATCAGAGCAAAGGGTGGCTATTTTGAAGAAACTAGAATATAAAATATGTTTTCAGTTATTTCACCTTTTTTTGTTAAGTACATAACTCCACATGTGTTCATTCATAGTTTTGATGCCTTCAGTGAGAATCTACAATGTAAATAGTCATGAAAATAAAGAAAACGCATTGAATGAGAAGGTGTGTCCAAACTTTTGGCCTGTACTGTATATATGTATATGATTTACAAATGGTCATTTTTTTGGGTGAAGTATTCCTTTATGTTAGACTTATGAAGTAAATGTTGATGACACAGTGTAACAGCTATAGAATAATGACACCATCTGCGTTTAGACTGGTTCTCTAGAAGCCTCGCTTTCACTACACAATTCTATCTGCCACAGGGTCCCAGAAAAATGAAGGGTTGATTTGCAGCACAACTTAAGTGCTTCAACAATTGTACAACCAAAACAGGAAGAGCATGGCACTTTTGTTTTCCCCAGCAGCTATAAGTAGCCATCCCCAGTTATCAAAGAGTATCAGTGTAAGTTCTTTATGGTTACTATCCCCAGCAGCAGAACTAGTGGATGGTGGAACAACCACAACAACTGTGGAAAACAAAATGCAGCATGTCCTGTGTTAGGCTCTGAAGGAAACGGAAAGTAATCCTGTTGTCTTTGTGTCAGTGGCGCCAACAAAAATACAACTTGGAAACACTGGAAACTTTAACTTACTTTGAATAACTTGGGAAAAAAGTTTTGTAATGTCACATCCTGAGAGGAAAAAAAAAAAAAAAGAGCTCCCCATTTTTATCTTATCCACTGGATTAAAAGGCAGGTATAAAAAATGAATACTTGGGGCCTAATTCGTGTGTGTGTGTGTGTGTGTGTGTGTGTGTGTGTGTGTGTGTTGGAGCACACAGGACAGCGACATCCTGTGCGTCCAGTCTCCAGCTCCTTCATGCAGGAGCTCTCTGCCTGGATGAGACGATATGTGACAAGTGATGCGGAGTGGTTTCACATCCACTTTTGAGGAAATCCTTGAGTCTCGGGGCATGAAGTGAAAACACACCCACATACATACACACACACACACACACACACACACACACACACACACACACACACGTGCACGCACAGAAGTGAGTCCTTCTGGTTGCTGTCTCAGTGAGCAGCTGCCAGTGTAGTGGAGTGTGCCAGCGGTGCCCTGACCCGTCTGTCGAGATGAATGTGCCCCTGAGCTACAAAGACACTCACTCTGGATCAGACTGTGCAGGTGCACTGAGGCTAACTGAGAGGCGGACTCTGAATGTTCCATTATGGATTGAGGTCTTTGTTGGTAAAGTATCTGGACTTGTTTTGCTCCAAATGCAACATTATTCTCGTTAGTTAAATCTTTTATCTCCTGGTTTCTTTATAAGAAAAATTTAAGAGCAAACACATAATCTATGTGCAAAAAAACTTGACTTACCTCGGGTTTTTATTGTTGAGACTTAGTGCAATTTCATTCACAGCATGTGGGTGTGACATAACCATGTTGAAGCCATACTGGGAGATGAAAAACAAACCAGAGGGAGAAAGACAGAGACAAATAAGCTAATTAACAAAGAAGAGGAGCCACTGAATAACTGAGAGGAGCGTTCCTCTGCATAATAAATGAAACATGGAGATCGAGCAGAGGAACTAATTGAATTTGGCTTCAGTTAGATAAGTGTGCTTTAGTTCAGCCGGATATGCAGTCTGTGTGGACGGGGAGTGCAGAGGGCTGACCTGTTAGTTCATGATAGCGCGCAGGCACATGATGCAGACGTGGACGTCGTCTTTCTTGCAGACCAGTCTGGAGTTTTTCAGGGTTCTCCGGCTCGGCAGTGTGTTGCAGCTAAAATATTATTACAGAAAAGACAAAAACAATTCAATTAAACTGTGTCAAGTGAGTCTATGAGCATCTGAACACAAACAAGAGCGCACGAGGCTCGGATAAATAAGGAAACAGATGTTGTTTTTGATGCTGTTTGATAATGAGCCTCCATCACACACCTCCTCCTTCACATAGGGAGGCTGTTAAACTGCCACGCCACCTTACATTAACACGCACAAAGGCCATATAATATACAGCCACGCAAGGGGCCACGGGATGCCCTCTTCCAATTGTTTTAATTTTATGTCCTTCACAAAGATATCACTTACAGCTAGCACAATAGCAGCCAGTCATTTGCATGCAGCACACTGATTGTGCAGCTTTACGTGAACAAAAACAAGGCCTTTTCTCCCGGTGCAGCTCTCACAATAAAAAGCGAAACGCTGGAGCAGCAGTATTACTGAATAATACGCAGAGCCAGTTGGAGCAGAACAGTTTATTTTCAGACTTCTGTCACAAGGTTCAATTACCGGTTCGAGTTCTGGGGAAAAATGTGTCTTCAGGCTGCTGATAGACATGCCGATTCGTGTCAGCTCCCATACTTAAAGGCGTGACTCCTGTGTGAGTCACAACATGGTGTTTGTGGGACTGAAAAAAGGCTCAAACTTCCAAGCAAGAGTCAGCAGTTTTAAGAGAACGATAGAACTATTCTTTAATTAGGCAACTTCACATTGAAATGTGCTGGTAAACAGTTAATCATGCCTTGAAAAATGTTGTGTATGTCTGACATTTACTACGAGAGTTTGTGTGTCTTTGTAATTATTCTCCATGCTGTGTTCAGCAGGATGTGGTGCCGGCCTGATGCAAAACAAGTCTGCTGTTGATTCAGGAGACATTCTGCAACTGCAGCGCTGCTCCACAGCAGCAGCAACAGAAACGAACTTAGAGGAGTTCATCCCAGGCTTTTTCCTCTCCTGGTTAATCAACATCTAAACAGAGGTGTGGCACGGTCGTGAGGAAATGAGTAACAATATTTCTTCATGATAAATGATTATGTAATACCAGCAAAATGCAACACCTTGACCTGCGTTGACTTGCCTGACATTGCTTCAATAACTTTACAGAACATATCATGTAACACAGTTGATTCAGGGGGCTTTACAAAGAAGATTTTGGATTTGATTCATTAATCTGTCAAATCTGATTGCCAAATTGGACTTCAAAGAGACAGGGCGCCCAAACCTAAAGGTTGAAGAGAGGTGAGAGGTGCTGTGGGGTGGAGAAATTTCTGAGCCGTCATGGGTTACAAAACATGAATCAAAAAAAATCCTGCCTGTTTTCTCAAAACAGCAGGACCACAACAAACAGAGCATGTTCTAAATAACACCACAGAACAACATCAAACACTACAACTATAACTATAACTACAGGATACAGGTCTAACACAGCTACTTATTTCTAGCAAACTCCATACCGTCTTATTTGAGAGCACTTTGGACAGCTCAGTGTGCTCGGTGTCCTTCAAGATGGCAGTTTGAAGACGACATATAACATGTTAAATTTGACACTGAGATGTTGATCTTACATTATTTTTATTTGAAGCCAAACTAAGGACAGATTAAGACAAAAAGGGGCATAGATTCTGTATGATGGACATTTAAGAATTAATTAAAAGAAAACCACCAACAGAGCAGAGCAAATGCCTCATAATTAGTGTGACGTCTCTTATTAACCAGAAAAAAAGATAACATATCCAAAATACAGAAGATGTTTGGAGGCTACCTAAGCCTAGTAAAAGCCTTTGCTTTTACAGGGCTTTTGTAGAAACTAGGCTAGCTTCTGCACAGAATGGCATTTAGGGAGCCACACAAGCAGCACACAGGCACAGAGACAAGAACAATGAGTGCAGAAAAACCCATTTGCTCCAAGGAAAGGAGAATTCAGTCTCGAGTGCGGGAGGGGAGGCTGGCAGTACAAATAATTCACATCCCCGACACAGACAGGGACAAATAAACTGGGCAGTGCTAGCAGGGAGGTATAAAGTACAATGAGGCAGGGGGATTCTGTATGAGTGAGTGTGTGTGTGTGTGTGTGTGTGTCTTGGGAGGGAGCAGGGATGCGGGGTTGAAGCTGCTGAAAGCTCACTGTGAGCTAGCAAAGTGAGAGACCTGCCTGCTGTCGAAGACTGGCAGACAGAGGAGCAGATGACTATGGAGGAACACCGGGGCAGAACAGAAGAGACAGTCAGCCTCAGTGAACACACTCTGACCTGTGACACACACTGTACGTGCTGATGACACAAGGCTACATCCGGACGAGGCTGTTGTGTGGGTGAAAGTCAGTTAGGGGCTAATCTTTATAACAGATATCTGCATATGTACTTGGGGTGGGAATCATCAGAGGACCCATGATACCATATTATAACAATACTTAGGTCATGATATGATATTATTTCGATAAAAATAATAGTAATGTTCCAAATGGCATATAGTGACTTTAATAGGTGGTTTAAATGGGTAATAGGTATGGCTTTACAAACAGGACACACCTTCCATATCTATGGCTGTGTATGACTGATGTTCTTCTGTAAATAACTTCTTTTACATATTATTTCAAGTACTTCTGAGATAATAATAGGTAATAAAAAACAACTGACTTGATTGTCATTCAAGGATACTATTTAAGAGGCATGTGCCTCATTGAATCAATAGAGCTCTTTGTGTAAAATTAGTTCAAGTTAACATATTCAAACTGAAGGATTAGAGGTCACAGAAGTCAGGGCCAGCGCTGTACCGAAACATCAATGGAATGACAGGGAGGATTAGAGAAATAATGCACAACTGAATGGGATTTGTGCTTCAGAGCATACATTAGCACGGACTTATGAATTAACTGCTGTGAAATCCTCTGTGCGCAGGATTTGGAGTTGAATGGTCTGTTTGGTGTTCATAAAAACAAAACATATTTGCTCCATGAAAGAGATTTTGCCTTCTACTGCATCGACTGTCATGTGAAAACTTGCTGTCAATCATGTGTCATGATCATGTGCAAAACCAGCCTGGGTTTGACAATCCTTAAAGTCCAGACAAATGGTTATTGCCTCCTGCTGCAGAAATGTGTCTTAAGCCATTTAAAGTCTTACAGACCTCATGACCACACAAAGAGGCTGCTGAGGCATCATATGAAACGTGTGACTTCTTAAAATAATACAATAATCAACAATACAGCCACACTGCTCTGCCTCGACACTCAGTGACTAGAAGCCCGAGAGGCAAAGTCATCTGTAAACACTAACAAAACCATACATGGGTAAAGGAGTCCTCTTTATCATCAATGACTGTGTGTACCGTACCGTATCGTGGAATGTCGCCCAGCACGTGTGATGCCATTCCCGGTCATGGAAGATGGCAGGGTGCTTCCTCCATGCAGGTCTTCTATAGAGCGGCTCCAGGGCTTAGACTTATCCATGGCAGCCTCTGGATTGTTCTCCACACAGTCTCCATCAAACCTGTTGCACCGTGAAAACAACAGAAACCAACTCAGTGAGCATTAACTTGCTGATAGTGGATTTTTTAAGTTGATATGATACTGCCATTTGAAAATAATACAAATCTGAAAAGATATGACCTTAAGTAAACCTACAGACTTATGTTCACTAAGCCTTATGTTCCCTCAGCCCTATCCTCACTCAGATCAGTACCTCCGCCAATGACGTAATGTTTTCACCCCTGCAGTAACACTGGCAACCATAACCTCCAACCCTAACCTAACAAGTTATAAAAGGGCCGGCTCTGATTTACAGGGAACATAGGGCCTAATTTGGATGGGGGAAAGAGTTCAGTAGGGAACACAGGGCCTGATTTGCAAAGAAGAACTTTGATAGGTGCTGAGGGAACATAGTGCTAAGGGAACAAAGGGCCTTAATTGGATGATAAATAGTTCCTAAGGGAACATGGTGCCTGATTTGGCTGGAAAAAAGTTCGCAAAGGAACATGGGGCTTAGGGAACATAGGCCCTAATTTGGTTGGAAAATGTTATTTGGTGCTAAGGGGAACATAGGGTTAAAGGAACACAGGGCCTAAATTGGATGGAAAAGAGTTCCTGAGGGAACATAGTGCCTGATTTGGCTGGAAAAAAAGTTAAAGAAGGAACATGGCGCTTAGGGAACATAGGCCCTAATTTGGTTGGAAAAAAGTTCATTTGGGAACATACTGCATGGAAAAAGAAGGGAACATAGGGCCTAAACTGGATGGAAAAAAAGTTCCTGACGAACATAGATCCTAATTTGGCTGGAAGAAAGTTTGTGAGGGAACACAGACCCTAATTTGGCTGAAAAAAGGTTAATGAAGGAGCATGGGGCTTAGGGAACATAGGCCCTAATTTGGATGGAAAAAAATCCATAGGTGCTGAGGAAACATAGGGTTGAAGGAACACAGAGCTTAGTTTGGATGGCGAAAAAGTCCATGAGGGAACACTCGGCCTGATTTCGATAAGGAAAAAATCCTGAGGGAACATAGGCCCAAAATTGGATGGAAAAAGTTTATAGGTGCTTAGGGAAAAAAATCCATGAGGGAACCTAGGGCCTACTTTGGGTGGAAAAAAGTGCATGAGGGAACACTTGGCCTGATTTGGAACATAGGGCTGATTCCATAAGTCCCATACACTGCATCTCATATCTGTCAGGCGCTAGCACTAATGAGCAAAGGTGAAACTGTGCTCAGCTCTGATGCTAACGCTCACATCTTAGGTTTCTGGGTTGGACATGATAGGTAAGCAGAACGTCTCATGTTTTGTTGTACTTGGCAGAAACCTTGGAAAGAGCTGGTAGTTATAGCATACCTGTTATGATCTATTTCAGTTTTTAGACCGGTCGTTTCCATGACTTTTAATACGCTGCTGCTGCTGCGGTGGTACTGAGGGTAAACACACTTTTACGGCTAACCATTCATAATGTGGACAGACCATAATAACATATGGTGAAGTGGGGAGGGTGAATTAAACATTTAACTGCGTGGCTCTTTGGCCCTGAACAGGGACCTTGTGACTGACTAATAATCACACCATCAATCTATGAATAGAAGCCTATGGTTGGTATAATACACAGTGCCAATGTGTCAGCAATGGGCCCCGAGTGACTCAGTGTTTCTGACAACCAGGCAACAGCAGCGGTGACGGTGGTGGTGGCGGAGACGCATCAGCGGCTGTGCATAATAGCAGCATTGTGTCGGTTGTCAGTTCTGCATATAGACTATAGTGATGTAGAGAGAAAGAGCTGGTAGTGACTTACGTGACGGCATACTGTGCAAAAGAAAGATACTCCACCAGCACGTCCAGGCCCTTGTTCTCTTCATTTAAGAATTCTCTCACCCACCTGAAGAGACAGAGAGAATAAAGTTTATTTTGACAGAAGTTTATCAGTGCACAAACTTTCAAGCAAGAGCACGTTTTCAAATATACTTATAAAAGCTGGTTCAGTTTCAACAATAACTCATCTCCTCTAGTGTAATCACGGCTAAAAAACTCATTCTCTGAGTGTGGAAGAAAAAACAAACATGCTTTGAGAAAGAAACTTGGAGAATTTGCTTTTCTTTGGTCTCTTATCTGGAAATAAACATCCCCAGATGCTTCATATTAATGGGTAGTGCCTAATGTCTTTCCATTTTTCCAGTTTATTTGTATATAATACGTTTTAATTAACTATGCCTGCACACATCAACGGGTATCAATGTTGAACATGTCTAATGATCAACATGTGTCAGTCACAATCATAAAAAATGTCCACACAACCTGCACAAAAAATTAGTTCGCTCATAGAAATCTGTTAGAATAATATCTAGATTTATCGGAGATGCTTACTTTAAGTATATGATCTGTAATAACACAATGAATGCTTTGACCGACCCTGACCTTGGAATACAGATATTTTCAGATTATTCCCCCCTTCTCCCACAATTCCTCCCTCCCTTCCCCAAGAAGAATTGTAATGACCCGTTTGACAGACTTCAAAGCTTCCTGGCTCAAAGCAGCAAACATATCCCCCATGCATGTGTTTGCAAAAGCACAAGCATGCACACACACATACAGAGAATCTCATTACTGAGTCTCCTGTTTTCTCTGTTTCTGTTTCTCTTCCACACACACACACACACACACACACACTCACAGTTTCTCACTGTGGTAAAGACTAGCCTCCAGAATGATCAAAAGCCTATTCTCACCTTCCTCACAGGCACTGAAGTGGGCCACCCATTCAGCGCCCGGCGTGCTTTCATTTTTTTTATTCTGCACAGAAAAGCCCAGCTCTTCACAGGGTGAAGCTCCCGCTACCTTTGGCATGTGCCTCTCTTCCTCCATATTTATAAGCAGTGTGAGTTGAATCACAGAGCATCTTTATTTAATCGCATCCTACGATGGTGCTTTTTATCGGAGCCCCGACGGCTTCGACGGGCCTGATTGCTCAGTGATTAGAGAAATTTGTGGGGCATAAACATAATGACATGCGGGCAGGCTTTTGGGGTGGTACTGTGCTGATGAGGATGTAAGGTTAAACTGCTTTTAAAATCCACTAGCTGCTTCTTTATTAGCTCCCCTGCGGTGAACCTACATGGGGCGAATGAGGCTAACGAGTGCGTCCAGTAAAGCAGTGCCTGGTGGGGCCTGACGTGTTTTTAAAAAAGAGGGCTTCTCGGGCCACATGGTAATCATTACCACAGGACACTAACTAACAATCCTCCTATTCACCACATGATGTTGACCAGTGAGCACCACGTGAGGAGCAAGCAGGCAGGGAGCGGTGTTATCATCAGCAGCGCTCATACAGGGACAATCTACCCATTATACACAGCCAACATGATAGATATATTTCCCTGTTTCACCTCTGAAAAGAAGCAGTAATTATTCACTGTCTGTGTTGGTGACATCTTGCTCCCTCCCTAGCCCCCTCCCCGTTCTCTCCCAATCTCTCTCCCTGCCCCAGTGCCATTATGGTAATGCTCTGTCTAATCTAGATTAGGTAGATTATTTATGTAATCTAGTTTACCAACATAAGGTCTCCAGAAAGGAATTAATCCATGTAAACAATGCCGCAACTGATTTGCCAGACAGACGTTGTCTCTGGCCGTGGTCGGAGTTTATTTTGCTTTGAAAAGCAGAATCTGATCGGTGTGTAAACAGTGTGTAGGAGTGTGGGAGACAGTGTTGTCAGATACATGAGATAATTTGTGCGAGAGTCGGTGAAGGAGACAAATTGAAGTCAAGCAATGTGTGTGTAGGAGGGAGGAAAAGAGAAAAACAGAGGGATTAAGAGATGTAGTTTAGATTACGTGTGTGTGTGTGTGTGTGTGTGTGTGTGTGTGTGTTTGAGGTCTTGTGATGGTTGTGTAACCAGCGTATCTCTGCGTCTTTGCTGTCACAACAGTCTGTGGCCAGCAGACCACTTGTGGCTGTCTCCTCATGTCCGAGACAAGGTCTGTGGTCGAATGGTCTTTTTTGCTTGGAAAGGTTCCTAACTGAGTGTAATGACCCGTTAGTATCTCAGTAACAGCTATGAGAGCTGTTCAAATTCTCTAAATGCCAAGGAAGGGTGCTTTAATTCTTCCTTTCTTATCTCCTTTAGCATCGTAAACACTGGACCACCTTTTTCTACAATTCCTTGCGACACAGCAGTTGGGCATTCATTTAAATAAAAAAACAATTCTAATTTCAATTCCAACCTTGATAATAAAGTAATATTTTTCACCAGCCGGGTTGTCCACATTTATACACTCACTGGCCATGTTATTAGGTACACCTTGTTAGTACCAGGTTGGACCTCCTTTCACATTCAGAACTGCTTTAATTCTTCATGGCACAGATTCAACAAGGTGCTGTAGATTTTTTGTCCATATTGACATGATAGCATCACACAGTTGCTGCTGATTTGTCGGAAGATGTGTACACTGTGGTCATAAAGGGATGGATGGACCAGGCAACGTTTTTCCAATCTTCTATTGTCCAAGTTTGGTGAGTCCATGTGAATTTTAGCCTCAGTTTCCTGTTGTTAGCTGACAGGAGTGGCACCTGGTGTGGTCTTCTGCTGCTGTAGCCCATCTGCTTCAAGGTTGGACGTATTGTTGGTTCAGAGATGGTCTTCTGCATACCTTGGTTGTAACCAGTGGTTATTTGAGTTACTGTTGCCTTTCTATCATCTTGAACCAGTCTGGTCATTCTCCTCTGACCTCTGGCATCAACAAGGCATTTCACCCAGAGAACTGCTGCTCACTGGATATTTTCTCTTTTTGGGACCATCCTCTGTGAACCCTAGAGATGGTTGTGTGTGAAAATCCCAGTAGATCAGCAGTTAATGAAATACTCAGAGCAGCCTGTCTGGCACCAACAACCATGC